TTTTTTTATTCTTAGATACAATAAACTCAAGATCATCTCTCTAAAAGACAAACACAAAAACCATTTCTTTCTCTTATCTCCACAACCCCAATATAAGCACCGAAAGGCCATTTTTTAAAGATTACTCTAAGACACACTTCATCTCAAATTAATTGTCATTTAAAAAAAATTATTTAAGGTAAATTTAAATATTTTTTATTTTAATTAACTTTATTGTTATTGTTTAACTTTAATTATTTACATTATTACTAAATTTTTTATCTTTATTTTCTTATTAAAGGTAATATAAGTAAAAATAAATAAATTGCTATAATTTTTAAATTTGTAACAAATTAAAAAAATGATAATTATTTTAAAACAGAGATAATAATGACATAATAGAGACAAATGTAATCCTTCTTTAACCTAATAACATGAAACAATTCGTAAAAATAGACAAATAAAACCATAAAATTTTAGAAATTAGTAATAAAACTAATCAAATTAAGAAATTGGCAACAAAAGCTTTACTCCAAAGGTTAGCATCTTTTTAGAGGATAAAAGATTTAGGTGTGATTAATTTTTGGGTTAAAGACAACTATAGTCCCTCTACTTTCGTTTTTATTCATTTTCCTCGCTATACTTTGAAATCATTCAAAGATCTCCCTCTACTCTCCCAAAACATCCTATATCCTCCCTCTATTTTTAATTTTCATATTAGTTACCTCCCTCACCTAATACCTAGATACCACCGTTACTAACTATCAAGTAATGGAATTTTTTTTCCATCGAACCTCCACCCATCCATATATTTATTATTATTATTTTTATTGAATTTCAATTGGTGGGCCAACAAGTTCCATATTAGTAACCCAGGTTTGTGCTCAGCTTAAACTTGCATTTTCTTCCCTTCAAACTCATGTCTTCTTCCTTCTTCTTCTACCCTTTAACCCTTGCCAAAATCCCAAAATCCCTCAATCCCAAAATCAAAATCCCTCAATCCCAAAATCAAAATCCTTTTAACCTAAATCTACAAACACAACTTCACCTTTTCTTCTACCATTTAACTGTTATCAAAATCCCTAAATCCCCATGTCAAGTCCACCCATTTGAGATTCCATAGAACCCATTCAAATTTCTCACTTAAATCACTAATAAGTTTAAGCAAGAATATAATTTCAAAATCCCTATATATGATGGAGATCACACCCTTATCTAAATATGTAGTTTATGACGTAAAAGCTAACAAGAGTGAATGAACTTGAATTGCACTAAAAAAGAGCTAAAATGCTGAAATGGGTGTAGAAAGCCACCTATGATTTTCTACAAATGGCATTAAATTGATGCACAAAATGTGTGAAGTGCAAAGAGCCAATTTTATAATTCTACAGTCAGCTCTAGTGAAGAAAAATGCAGAAAGCTAGTTATGAAAGCTGTAACTAGCTCTATAGATGAAAAGTTCAAACCTACAGTTTGGCGTGTGTGAAAAATAGATGCAAAGCTAACTATAACTTGTAATTGGCTATGACTTGTAGCCGACTATAGTAGTGTACATAATGACTCAAAATTTTCACTTATAATTTTTCAAAAAACTTTCAACAGATTTGATTTGGGGATTTTGGGATTTAGGAATTTTGATAACAGTTAAATGATAAAAGAAAAGTGAAGTTGTGTTTGTAGATCTAGGTTAAAGGGATTTTGGGATTTTGGTAAGGGTTAAAGGGTAGAAGAAGATGGAAAAAAACCGTGTTTGAAGGGAAGAAGATGCGAGTTTAAGCTGGGCATAGATTGAGGTTGTTAACACGAAACTTGTGGGGCTCACCAATTGAAATTCAAAAAAAAAAATTAATGGATGGGTTAAAGTTTGATGATGAAAAAAATTCCATTACATGACAATTAGTAATAGTATTATCTAGGTGTTAGTTAAGGGAGGAGGTAACTAGTATGGAAATTCAAAGTAGAGGGAGGACAGTAGGATGTTTTGGAAGAGTAAAGGGAGATCTTTGAATGATTTCAAAGTATGAGGAGAACAATGAACGAAAAATGAAAGTAGAGGGACTGTAGTTGGTTTTACCCCTTTTTTTTTTGCCCTTTGGTTCATAATAAGAACTGACGAGTTTTTGTATGGATTCTGTTCCCATTCAGAACAACGCGCCAACGCCGGCCTGCAATTTTCAACCCGTGTGCTGTTATTATCTCATTGCTTAGCTGTATT